GTCACACCAAACATGCTTGCCCTTTCAGCCGTGGGGGCATTATAATGTGACGGTCAGTCCCACTATTCGTTGGTAAAAGAGTAGCTCAAGAGTTGGTGGTGGGTGGTGTTGACTAGCTGCCTTCCCTCTAGTCTTACACTGCTAAATTAGGGACGGCTAGCGCAGATAGCCCTCGTGTAGCTTTGCGCGAAATTCAAAACAAACAAATAGACCATATTTGATCTTTTTCCTGTATAGTTTGATGGATGTCGTAGTAAGAACTCAAAATAATACAGCAATGTTTTACCCGCAGATTAAAAGACATAACAATTTTAAGAGATTAACTAAAGAAAGAGAGTACAAAAATTCTAGTAAAGAAATTGAGACGAACGAAACTAAACGTCCTGTCTGTCTGACATATTTGTACTCTTGAACTACTTTCAAAAATGTCTTCATATCTGTATGTATCTATCTATATTCTCAATATTTGTATTACGAACGTTGCTCTCATCGATAAGCAAAGCGATATATATATGTATGAGTAAACAAATACATATTATTGTGTACATATGTATATATACATATTCTGTAGTCCTTATTTCTGGGTTGAAAAAAAGAGCGTTTGGTTGAAACTTCGTCAAGAAAATGAAAACAAAACAATAAATTTTTAAGAGGATTTATCTTCAAAAATCTAGTTTTTTTATTTTATCATCACTTGAGCATTTTTATTATATGTATATATATATATATATAAATCTACTTAGAATACGTGCGGAGCAAAAAAAACAAAAATACAAAGTTAAAAATAGATGATAAAAAAACCAATAAAGCCACAAGTGGTGCATAATAAACACGCCAAATATTAGCTTAGCAGCATCATGTGTAAGTGGACGAAAGTTATCAGTAATTGATAGTATTGAACATACTAACGGAAACAGCATTAAATCAGTTTTTCAGGATTTACAGTCAATTGGCTCGTACAACGGTAGTTGACTTTCACACTTGAGTGAAATTATTCCACTATGTAACTTATTTTTGTTAATTTGTTTTCGTTCTGACTTATGACAATGCAAATACGAGCTTTCAAGTGTGTAAATGTGCCAACCGTTACAGTTAGTATTGTTTATTTATCAAAATATAACGTGCTGTTTTTATTATCATACATTTGTTGCACGATATCGCACAGAAGTTATTTGTTGCTTCTACAGCATATATATTACATTCTAAGAATGTGTCTGAACATCTACGTAACACTTAGATGTTCTTTTTATGTACAAAAACCACATAAAACAGTTTATAGAATTACAAGAATTATTAGTAGCAAGTACTTAATCTGTAACTAAATCTAATTATATATATATGCATATATTCGTATATATTGTGTAGGCCCATATGACAACTGGGTTTAGAAATATCAAAGAACATATTGCTCTGATATGTTTATTTAAAAAATTGCTATAACTATTTTTTTGTAGATTGTGGGTTTTTAAATCTCCTTAAATCCATAACGTAAGGCTTTACCTTAATACGCTCGAGTAGCAAAAGGAGGCTGCTAAGAATGTCACTTCCGCCGCATCGTAAATCGGATTTGTATTATAACAGAGACTTAAGGTTTAATATCTATCATACGCGTAGTGTATAAGAACGCAAGCACGAGCAGTGATTTTACGAACCTTGCAAACCACAGCAAGAAAAAAAAAAACACCTTCCAATCCATCCTCCTTCTATAAGGGTGTTTGCTTTTGGTAATGAAGTTTCGATTAGCTGAGAATTCTAGACATCTGGGGAACGTAGATAGAACACAGAGGAAAAGATTCTGTTTTGAATGTAAGAAAAATCACGTGGAAAAATTCTCTGTGCAATATAAATATGACTATATATATATATATATACATATATACCAAAGAGAGGACACAAAAATATGCTTTTAAGTGTCAACAGTGGATGCTACAAAATAAAGGATGTCAGGGAAAAAGCTATTCGTTTAAATGTACACACACAAACAAAATCCGTAAGAAAAAAAAACATTATTGTTGTGTTAGTGTGACTAGAAACCAAGAACAGGACAAAAGAGTAATTATGTGAGACAAATCACGCGGGAAGAAGTCACTTCTGTTCTATAAACGTGATTAGAGACCACACATAGGACACAGGGGATAACATATTGGTTTAAATATGACCAGTAGCATGAGACGAATCACATAGGGAAAAGTCACCGTTGTTCTATAAATGTGTTTATAGATCATGTAAAGCAAAAAAGAAAATCACATTGGCTTAAATATCAGCAGTGACGTGAGTCGAACTATGTGATAAAAACATTTCGCTGTCGTTCTGTAAGTGTGATTTATGACGATAATATAGAGCACAGGGAATAAAATATCCGATTTAAATGTAGACAGAAATGAAAAAAAAGAAATCATGAAAAAAAACTATTTGTTTTCAACTAAAAACCAAGCTAGAACATAGGAGGAAAGGTGCTGGATCAATTCGAAACAAGTAAAGATACTGGCTACAAAATAGTCAAAGTTGTTTAAGTCTAACAATTGATCAAATACAGGATAGAAGAACTACTTATACTGTTAACAGTAATAAAATACAAGACAATTGGTAAATTATTCCCAACTGTTGATGAATGATATCATAGTGTTCATTAATGAAACCTTATTCAACAAACTTCGTACGTGTTATGTAGTTAGGTGTCAGGTAGCATCAATTAAAGTTGAGAGGGTGTGAGAAAGTGCCTGACCTTTGGTCAGTCTTTATCGAATTAGGGAATTACAGTCATTAAAAAGTTCTTGGAGTGAGCGGGAGTTGAGGCGGTATAGAGACTACGAGAACACCTATATTTATGAAACGTTATAATTCGATATACAGAAAACAGGTGCAAGGTCAGAAAGAAAGACCGGTTCGGTATAGGTTTCAGAAAGAAGTATAAAGTGGGGAGTCCAACGAGAAGAGAAAAAAAGACCGGGAGATGTGAGAGAAAGAACGGATAAACCGAGAGAGGCGAAGGAAGAAAGAAATATGCAGCCTGTAAAAAATAAAACTTATTTCTAAATCTATGTTTTATTGATTACCAGTAATAAACAGCAGTTTGCTATGTTTGCATTGGAATGAGTTAATTCCTAGTAAGAATGAGTAAAACCTAAATAAAGTTGATGGACATAAGCAGGGAAAGTGACATGCGAGTATAATACAACTATAACAGTATGTCGGCACCTTTTTCTTAACTGGCACATTGTTCACAAAGTTTATTGTTTGTAGGCCCATAAAAATAAGTTTAAATTATTTTAAATTTTAAATACTTTTGTTTGCTATTTAATAGTTTATCTTTTATAAAGTTCTATAAAATGGGAGTTATAAAATGTTTTATATTAAACCCATTTATTTTTCGTTTTCCAGTTATCTAAATTTTTAAACTTCGCAGAAGAGCAGTTTTTAAAGATATTGTTGATTATAAGCTTTTGTCTTCCACTTGATTAGAATAGAAAATTATTCTATTTTTAGGAAAACTTATGTACTTTCAGAGATCTATGTATTATATTGTTTTTCTAACTAGATTTAGTTGTCTGAATAACCTACCATAAACAGTCATATCCTTGTCTGCCTTAACGGTTCGATATGAGGGCGCTTCTGTCGACACCTCACAGCCGTAAGACCCTTCACTGTTGAGATCAGTTTTCTCCAGGTAAACATGCGTCTGGTTAGACTTGTTTAACTGCACAAAAGTGAAAATAAGACCAGTTGATATTGAGCTATGATGAACATTTCGCATGTAAAACTTAGATTATGATATATATATTTATTCCAGTAAACTTAAAAATTTAGCACGTTAATTGAGGCTCACAGAAGTGTAAAACCTATGTCTATTACAGCTCTTCATAGTGATTTATTCACATAAATCGTTGAAACGTTAGACACATTCAGTTGAGTGGCTTCTTAATTAAAACAGGAGTTTATAAATTCAATGAAACTTAGTTTGAAAATTTACTTTATTCCTTTCAGTTTGATTCCGGATTCCGGCACAGTAAATATTAGACGTTGATAAGATCTCGAACAAAAATATTATATTCGTTTTAACCTAAACGGCAAATAAAGTATGCCGCATGGTAAACAAGTGACAGATGAATAGAGATAACAAAAATTACACGTTTATTCGCCCAAAAAGAGAAACACGTTACAGATGTAGCAACAAAAACAACAGAAAAAAAAGAGATAAACTTATTATCTCCACGTGTCTAACCTTAATAAAAGGTATTTTGTTTCACTACGTAAGAAGCTTCTCATACCAGAAAGCCTGATATTGCCTGCAGTTCCATTCGCTAAGACTGTGTGTAGTTTACTCCGATGATTTCAGAAGAAAGCACTCCCATAGCTATTACTGTCGCATCACATATGGTAATATGTTCAAATTGTCAGTCCTTATACCCATGCATTTATAGCAGTACAAGTGCGAAATGTACTTTTTCTTAGAACCTCTCGAGAAGTTTCTGTGCATCAGTATCGAATATCCTATAGACCTTAAAATGCCCTCAAAACCTCCCCTGACACTAAAGTGTCAACAGCAAGGCACTTTTTGTCATTTTAACCTTTTTCTAGAATACTTGTGAAGTGTTAGTTAAAATGATATAGCAAATTGAAGAAAGCATGGAAGCTTGATTAGTGATTACATAAAAATCTTAATACTGCCTACAAAATAAAACAATAACAACAACTACATTTGAGGTGCTTTCAAAAACATTCATACTTTGTCACGTATAAACATATCTAGCAGGACCTGACCGGTTTACTTTAGGCTTGATAAAATTAAAATTAAATGAAATTAGTAAATGCCAAGTTTCCATCTATTTTAAACATGGTTGGGTGAGGAAAGAAATGAGCAACTTCGGGCCTTCACAGTGAACTTGCTGTGTTTTTTTAACTTTTAACGACAAGTTCTTTGTTAACACAATATCGTAGAATAACACACGAGTTAAAATAAATTTAAAACACGGCTTCATTTTTTTAACTACAGCTACGTTAACATTGAATCTTCTATTCTTTGTTGTATAAAACAGGGTAAAGAACATTATTGAATGCACATATTCAAGGTTTCACAGTCAATGTATCTAGGTTCTAATAAAGATTTCAAAATCTGCGCATTTAGCTTCTAATGGTGCAAATATTAAAGGCTTCACGGTCCTCGTATATAGGTTCTGATAATGTATATGTTCAGGGTTTCACTGTTCACGGATCTGGGTGTTAATAGTACACATATTCAGGGTTTCTCGGTCTACGAATTTAGGTTTTTAACAGTGTGCTTAACTTGTTTAAACTTGTATAGTGCGTTTTTAGCTCAATTAATAGTCAGCATTGTTTCAATAGATATAAATTCAAAACCTCCTAATCGTAATACCAGCGATTTTTACTTACGTCATCTGCTATATAAAGCCAAGTATGTGTCCGGGGAAAACTACACGGTCGTATATCTATCATTTCATGTCTGTTGCTTATACGTTTCCACATTTCTTGATCAATCAGCACCAAACTTGACACAGTGATACAGAATGACATGAGGAGGGTCATGAAGGGGTGGGTTGGACCCCCATCTAATTTCTTGGAAAACTACCAAGACAGTAAAACCTGACACAGTGATACAAGTTGACATGAGGAAGGTAATGAGGGGTGGGGGTGAGCCCCCTCCATATCATTTCATATTGATAGAATTCATGAAAACAGCACGTCTTTCTTTTCAGTAGTGGTACCTCTATGTATTTTTAATGCACTTTTAATGTTTATTATATTAAGAAATAGAAGCACTATTTTCTATCCTTTGTTACAAACGAGTTTTTATTTCACCCTTCCAACAGACAGGTACTCCAGCTAGTTCTATATAATTGTTAGTGTTGATGCAATACGTCTTAACTTATAAGTTAAGTAAGTGAAATTTTACATCAAAGCTCTTGTTGGAACTTATTAATATTAATAATTATAACTTTCTTGGAAACTTATTAATGATAGAAGTTTAAACAACAATTATTGGTTTGTACCTAAGTTTTTTTTATCTACTTGTGAGCATCCTCTCTGTATAATAAACAACCTTCAGTTAAGATGACTCTAGCCTCATTTCTCCATGAAAAATCCACCAAAATGTACGTTTTATATCTCTTTGGCAAAAAACTTGAAAGACCTACAAATTTAAAAGTGTGTCATTATTATGTTTCTCTATTGTACAGAAGTTGAGTACGATTTTGGAGCCACACCTACAACAAAGTTTCCTTCGCAAAAGGTTCTTATTTCCAAAGCACACCACTTCTACCTACATGCTTTCCATAATCTATCTATTTTACGAAGACGACGGTTCCCAAACGTCCGTTTCAACAATCGATTGCACAGAAATTCATAGGCGTTGCATATGAAATATTTTAAATACTGAATATCCGCTACATTTTCCAGCTGCTTGTGGTATGCGACGATTGAATGGATTTGTAGTGGAGGTAACTCGTACACATGTGATTTATGTCGCCTTTCCTGATCGACATCCTTTATGGTTATGTTACACTCCTTTGAGGACAGCTTTTTCTGCTGACCTTGATTTTCATGGATTCTCACCTGTTTCAATACGCCGCATTTTGTTTACCAGGACTGAGGTACTATTTGTTACAGGTATCTTTCTGAATTGCTCTGGTGTTCCAAGTTATTCTATATTCCTTTGCACACGGGATATCGCCATCTTGAAGGTTCTAAGTTTCCGATCTGAACACATCTTTATGATCTGAAGATACGAATATTTTGGAAGAGCTATTACATACCCTTTTCAAAAGCGATCTATTTTTCGATAGTATCACACTACGAACGTAACACCAAACAATCTGAACTTATATCGAATGTAGTTGACATATGACTTGCTAGCTTACATACTCAAAATCGTTTAACGTACTCATCCTTCTGTACAGGGTTAATATTGCAAGTATACAGGTTTCAATATAGTCAAAGCAATAGCTGAGATTTTATAGTTTAGCTTAAACATAACTTATGCCTTCACCATAATAGTTTAAACATTATAGGTAATCTCTTAGTTGTATCTTCAAGATAAATGTTTATAACCTACATTTAAAATTGAAACAACGTCGTTTCGCTTATATACTTTGTACTGCTAAATCGTAAAATCAACCGTCAAGATAACATTACAATTAACAACTGACAAAGATTAAGTTTCTGACTCATATCTAATCAGTTGATTATTTTGCTGAAAATGAAGTTGGAATGTTTATTTTTTTTTACTTTATCAAATTCCTTTTCACAAATTATTAAATTACTTCTCAATAGAGATTATTGAAAAAACAAACATCGCGAAACAAAAACACGAAGACCACAAAGAATAACTGAAGCTGAAACAAATTACTTGTTACAGAGAAGACATGTTTGATGGGTCAAACCTTTATTACTAGTAACAGAAAACGAATTACTTGTTACAGAGAAGACATGTTTGATGGGTCAAACCTTTACTACCAGTAGCAGAAAACGAATTACTTATTACAGAGAAGACATGTTTGATAGGTCAAACCTTTACTACCAGTAGCAGAAAACGAATTACTTATTACAGAGAAGACATGTTTGATGGGTCAAACCTTTATTACCAGTAGCAGAAAACGAATTACTTGTTACAGAGAAGACATGTTTGATGGGTCAAACCTTTATTACCAGTAGCAGGATACGAATTACTTATCATAGAGAAGACCTGTTTAGTGACTCAACCCTTTACTACCAGTAGCAGGAAACGAATTACTCAACACTAAGAATAGTTGTTTGACAGCTCAACTCTTTAATACCAGTAAGAGATTACAAAGTTATGTAAAATCTAAAAATTTGCCCTTTTATATTTTAATATTTACTGTTACCTCTTTCTTATCACCTTCGTACCATATACGTATATTTAGTTCAATATTCAAATTAGAAGTCAGAATTCGGTGATTTTTTATTATATTTTATTTCTGTCTCTTAAATCTTCCTATAGTTCTATTGTGAAGTTATTAATCCTTATGATATTGTACACATATATTATAACTTTCTAACATAACTATTGTGTAGGAAGCTCATTTCGTAAACTCAGAATTAGTTGTATTTTTCACTGAAAATTTGTGTGACACGTTCTGAGTTGGAAGACATCGGCTAGTAATTTAACCTTCAATCTTCCCTCAGAGTTATCTTCACTCAAGTAAATAGCTTCTGCAGCAACACGTGAAAGCGCGTAGAAGGCAATTTCGTTGAATTATTAAACAATTTCAAAAATAGTTGACGCTATTATCGGGGTTTCGAGTTGCTATGGACTTGTTTGTAATCTATATTTGAAATTGGTAACGAGAAACGCAATACGTGTAGTTTTTACTGATGTTTACATGTTGTGATGCGCTACGTGTAACTGTTGTATAAGAGTTTCATGTAGTTTCTATTGATGTTTACTCGTCATGAACCGCCTAGTGTTACTATTGTATCAGTTACGTTATATTTTACTGGTGTTTACACGTCGTGACGCGCTTCGTGTTATGTCACGAATTTGCTATTATATATTTATTTTAATATCAACGTTTGTTTAGATTTAGTTTATATTTTAAAACATGCGTAGCTTGTAGTGTTAAATATGTGTTTCGAAACTCCCGCCTATTATCCAAAATTGTAGAAGATTCTCGAGAGTAAGAATCAACCATATATGTATATACGTAAACGCTTAAATTTGTA